ACTAAGTTGTTCGTGAAGTCCTGTGGACGTTGGAACACTTAGATTCGACACAAGACTTAACCAAACCACATGTGGGAGTTTACATTAATCCCACTAAGGGTTGACCAAGTCAAACTAACATCAAAACGAAAAGCAAGTCCATTACCGATTTTATTTCCAAAACCATATTTTGAAAATAATAACCATTAATCACATAAAATCAGTTGGTCAGGTTACCCTATGACTTAAGCTCTGAAATTTTAACCAAAATTACATCTCCCCGTAATTAGTAAAACCACAAAATTTCAGCTTCAAAATCAAAATACATTATTTTATACAATTCATACAAAACATCAGCAAAAACGCACATAAATGTATATCTGAACCTAATGAACAAATCAAGAGTTGATAATTTAACACAACAAGCCACAGCATGATAGAGACAACATATAAAAATTTTAGTCCTGGACATTAACTATAAAATTTTTAAAAATTCACACAAATTTCAGCAGTCATCGAATTTAAATCAAAATCGGATCGAATTTAACTCCAAAAATTTTCATCTATTAGTAATTCAAACAACTTTCTGCAGATTGAGCAATTAAATTATTTGCTCTATAAAACTTAGTCCAAAAATTCTAAGACTTTTCCAAGCATATAAACATCACAGAGACATATCATTCTCAATTTTCAGCTCATTTGAATCACGAACCAATTTCTTAAGCATTTTACAAGATTCTGACCAGAATCCACTTTATTTATTAAATATAGCCAAAGGACTCCAAATATTACGAAATTTTTACACAGGCCTGGTAATCAACATAAAACATATCCCTCAAAATTTCAAGTTGTTCCGAGCAGCGTGCGATTTTTAATAATTCAAACATCAAAACAGCGATATACATGCTCGTCGATTTTCACACATAACACATACCAATTAATTCTCGTCCGAGGCCTTCCCATAAGACCAAGGACTCGACATTGTTTCAATATCCACTGACTTACACGATTTTTGAGGTCTCGCTCGATTCTTTAAAAATCGAAGAGATCCCGAACATCATGTTGAACCCATTAATCGCAAAATATTCACATCTCGTATATCAAATCGCAAAGAGCACATCACGTCATTTAAACATGATATTAAATTAACATATAAACGATTTAAACGAGACGGGATCGACTAGGTACCATTCTCGGGAATACTCGGAAAACGGAACGAAAGAGAAGGCGAGCTCGCGGCAAGCGTAGCTCGCGGCAAGCGTCGTCTCGCGAAGGGGACAGCGGCTGAGAAGGGGGTCGCTGCTGCTAGGCCACCGCCGGAGGTTGCTGCTCGTCGAGGTGCTGAACGGAGGAGGGTCGCCGGAAAAATCACGAACAGTGATCGGGGAGAGCTGCTCACGGCGTGGCGGAATTCCTGGGCAGCGCGGGAATGTGCTGATCGACGGAAGGATCACCGGCAGAGGGGGTCTCGTTGTCGGAAACTCGTGGGCTGCTCGCGGTGGATTCAGACTCGCCGGAAAAACGCAAAGACAGAGTCGCCGGAGCTTGGTGCTTCACGCCAGCGATGATGGGATGGTGGCAGTGACGAGGAGATGAGGACGGGAAAACAGAAAGATACGAGCGGGTGATGACGAGGTGAACGGACGATGGTGATGGTGAGAAGATTCCGACAAGAAGGCGAGAGAAAAGGTGAAGTCGATCGTATAAGATTATGGTGAGGGGACGATCTGGTTTTCTCTGGCTCGCTCGATCAAGGAGGAGAGAAAAAAAAAAAGATCTGTTTTTTAGGGGCTGCGGGATATATCTGATGAGAGAAACGATCGAGAGAAAACAACATATATACCTACATATTAGGTTAGAAAATCTTGAAGCCCAAGAAAAGAAATTCACTACGCACGCACGCGAGAAAAACAGAGAGAAGGGAAACTGGGCTTGGGCCAGCCGGCCGGGTCAGGCGGGTCGCAGGTCCAATGGGCCGGTTCAGGCGGTTCCAAAAGTTTGGGCCAAAGGATGCGGGTTCGAGAGGTTTAAGCCGTAGGTTCGGTCCAATGCATACGGTTCTCTCGGGCTCAATTTCTTGGTTTATTTAGCCAAAATAAAATGGCTCGGTTCGCTCGATAAAATAAAATAAAATTTGGCTATTATTAATAAAATATATTTTACACATTATTAATTAAATAATAATACACATTTAAGAATTTAATTGACAGTTAGGCATTTAAATAAAATAATAATAACAATAATAAAATAATAATAATAATAATTCCAAATACTTCGTAAACAAACGGGTTTACGAATCGGCCGGCTTCGACTACCGGTTTATCGGGCTCAATTTCATAAAATCCGAAATATACATAGTGCTCGGAAAAATAAAATATGACAACCCGTAAATCTTTAAATTTACGAAACCGACATACTACATAATTATTAGTACACAGTAATAAATATATTATCAAGTAACTAATTCACTTTGACAAATTTAATAAAATAAATAATAATGTCAATATATCCGAAAAATCCATTATTCAAACGGATTATATTTGCTTCACATAACTAAACTCAAATCGTCGTACGACGAACGTTTTTCCAATAAACGATCGAGTGCTTCAACCTTTTATTTAAGTCGACATAGCGACCAATAAAATAAATATAACCTTATAAATAATATTCGATAAATAGAATATTCCGATAAATTCTATAAATCGAACGGGGCGATACATGAGTTGTAGTAGTCTCGCTCCAAGAAAGCAAAATTATTATATTGTCATTAATTAAATTAATTAACATATATTATATTTCAAATACGGAGAGGTAAATTGTGTAATTATTATTATTAGAGCCTGAAATGTAATTTGAGCGCTAAATGACAAGTGCATAGTATTCTTTTAGTGGAAAAAAATATTATTAAAGTTTAAGCTGAGTGTGCTTGGCCCACAATTAGGCCCAAACTTGAGAAATTTATATTTAGCACCTCCTTAGGGTCCATGTTGTAGCCTATAAATACAACGCATTTCCTGGGATTATGGATTGTGAGTTGTCACACGCAAATACACAACCCATATATCCTAGGAATCCCAATCGAGATATCTTCGAGATCATCGCCCACCAAAAGGAACGGAGAAGATGTCGGGTCATACAATAGAAGATCCTCGGACATGCATGCGCACAAGCCCAACCAAGATCAGGTTATGGGGGTAGCGCATGGATGTGCCGCGTGCGCACAAGTTTCTTGCAGGGGCCGCAGCCCGCGTGAGAAAATCACGTGTAGCACATGATGTTCTCGGTATTGCTTACAAGCGGGCGAGGCCAACTCGCATGCGACTTTGTCCGGCGACAGGATGGCGTTGCACGTTATGTACGCGCAAATCGGGGTTCCCAGCGACTTCGTCGCACGGCGTAGTGCAGCGCTCAACTTGGCATCACCAAAAACCTCGTCGCGCGATGCAGCGTAGTGCAACGCACACTAGAAGACTAAGAGCCAGTACCCGTGTACGCTGGCGACTTAACACATTCCCTAACGATCCCAGGCGAGCAACCGGGAAAACCTGCGTGCAAGACCCGACATCACTCGGGATCCAGCGTGCACCAGCAAGCCTAGGCCAAGCGTGCAATGCACTAGGAGACCTGGTCGTGACCCGACCATGGCTTGGAAGCCTTCAAGTGACGTGGTGCAACCGACAACAGTCTGACAAAATCCAAAGCGATGCGAGACTCAAAACGCAGAATGTGGTCAAAGCGTGATGTGGCACGATGGGATCCCGATCGGAAAACAACGTGCGACCAAAGACGAGGAGGACGACGAGGTGAGAAGATTGTGTCAAAGCCGAAGTCTGACCTCGTAGGCCGTTTATGTCTGTACAGAGTCTGTGAATTTTTTAACAGTACGTTTTCAACCTTAACTTATGGATCCCTTGCGCTTAGGGTTAATTCATGGATGGTACGTGACTTGCATAATATTCACGTTTCTAACCGAGCCCAAATATATGTGCAAGTAATATACAAGTTTAAAGTTAATCATTTGCCACTTAAGTCTTGTTTTAGCTAATTCACATAAAGTCCAATGTTGCTTGCTTGAACATAGATTCTCTCGTTATACTAATGTTGCTTGCTTGCTCACATCTTCATAAAAAGAAAAATGAATTAAACAAAAAAAAAAAAAAAAANTAAAAAAAAAAAAAAAAAAAAAAAAACATAGAATGTTTACTTTTTCTCCACGATTCACTCTATAATGTATAATGTTCATGAGTTCAGCAACAAAATAAAAGGAGGGATGGTGGAGAAACATCAAGATTGAGCTCCCAAGCATTCAAAGATTAGTGTGTCATATCAGTGACGACAGTCTTAGCATGAATGTCATTTGAACCCTTGAATCATATCATGGGCGATTATTGTATTATAATATACTAGTACGTAACCCGAGCGATGCACGGGATGTAACATTTGAAAGAATAATATAATCTCACGTGCATTAGAATCGAAATTGAAATCATTAAAATACATAGGAACATTGTTGAATCATAAAAAGTTCGGTAACAAGCATATATTATTAGAAACCGCCTTGTACACAATATTATGAGTTTGATTATTTGGTAACTCCTCATTATCACAAACTAATATTTTCAAAAGAGACAAATCCTAAAAATCAAACTAATATTTTTGGTGAACAAAATAATATTTTAGGATTGGTGAACAAACTAATATTTTAGGATTTTTAGGATTTGTCTCTTTTTGGTGAACAAATTAATATTTTAGGATTGGTTATATGAATAAGGCTACCTGTTTTTGGTGTTCTTTTCATTCATTTTCATTCAAACAATCCGATGACTTGTATAATGAAATCCGAATCTTAAGCCGAAATATTTAAAAAAAGAGTTTTTAAAAATTGAAAAGTCAAGGCAATCAGTTCAGATTAATTAAAGGTCAAAGAATATCCGCTCCTTGAAATAAAGACGTGTGCTATTATTAATCAAATATCCGGTTATTGATATAGAGTAGTTACCAAAAAATAGAACGCGATAAGGACGCTTCATGAAAATATCAATAGGATAAGATCATAACAGATCGCTATACATTTTAACGATTAAAGCTCAGATAGATTGATTTATGATAATTATGTCGTAATTAATGAATTAATTAGATGTGTGAAAATGACATAATTAATGAGAAGTGTGAAAATGACATAATTAATGACAAATGTGAAAAGGACATAATTAATGACAAGTGTGAAAAAGAGAAATTAATGAGAAATGTGAAAAGGACAAAAACTTACCAGTTTTGGAAAATATTTAATGCAAATCCGACATTGACCATAATTTGACCTACTATTTTGAATAAATGTTAATTCTTATTATATAAGTATAGATTCTTTTTATCGTTTTGCTATGACTCTTCATGAATTCAGCATTCAAAAATTAGCGACATCGATCATCATTATTTCATACATTCAAGTTTATTTTGTATTTATTTATTATTGTGGTCGATACCTATAGCTTAGAAAAGGGCATTCCAGAGAGTGGAAGCATCTTCACCACACTTCATGTGTACAAATTTCATTCTCTCGACCGATTTACAAATACCACTACATGTCCAATCAAATGATGCTGCACAAACAGGTGACATTCCTTCTCGCCACTCACATCCTGCACCATAAACTCTATTCATTCCGGTCCCCACAATTGGAAACATCTTAGCAAATTTTTGCAAANATAATAATAATAATAATAATAATAATAATAATAATAATAATAATAATAATAATAATAATACAGTAATGGAAAGTAAATTTCAAAGTAAAGTTTACTTGGTGGAGTTCCACAACACATGCCACCATCATTAATATGTTCAATTTCAAGACCGATGAACCACGAGCCGAGAGATACGTCTTCATTTGCATATTTGTGTAGAATGTGCCTAAAATTAAATTAAAGACAGAGCCCACTAGCGTCTTAATTAAGCCAAAAGTTCTATTAATAGTTAAGACAGAGCTCATTATTCTTACTGATTGATGGAGATGTATTCTGCAAGGTCCTTTGATAAAGCATATATCTGACCAGTAGCATGTCGAAAATATTTGTTCCCTATTTCTCCAAACTTCCAATATTCTGGCTCGTGGTACTTGACACTCCTACAAAAGGTTAATAAAAATAAATAAAGACCAACAACTAAATAACCAATTGAAAACAAAAAATTCTTTTACAAATTATATAAGGTTAGATCTAATCAAAAAAGAGAAATTAATTACTTTTGAAAAAGAACTGGGCCTGACTTCATGCACCCAATATAAACTCTGGGCTTTGAGCGGTGGCGTGCTAGAGTTGCTGCTAAGGTCCCTGCATTATGATTGATCATCATTAAATTAGTATGATAGAATTGCAGTTGTGAAGAAAAAATAAAAGTAGAAAAAAAAGAAGAAAATGGATATGTACCCAAATTCACATGAACATCATCGTCCACTTTTACGTAAAAATCTGCATCCCACCTTTCTACAGCAGTTGTGAAAAATGATTTTGTCTTTGCTGTTAATTCATGATATCCTTCGATATGTGTCTGGAATCAAATTTGTATTGAGAAATCATTGTTGGATTTTGAGAAATAGAGAGACAGACAGAGAAAGAGAAATAGGGGGTTAATTTCCTCACAAGCCTAAGAAAATCTTGATGTTGGGCCTCCTCTGAATCAATTGCACGGTCCAATATGCTGTTGGATGTGGCACTGATGATTTATTAAAAATTGTTAGTAATGATTTATAATTAGAAGAGAGAGAGAGAGAGGAGAATGTCCGGTTCCCCATGAACAATCAAAACTCTGCTCAGACAATATTCTCATATCATAAATCCAATGAGAAACAAATTTCACTACAAAATCTACGGTTGCACATGAAGCTAACTTGCATTATGCAACTCCTTTGGTAAAGTGTCATTTTATAATTCTTGAAACATCTTTCAAAATGATTTCATCCATCAAAAATAGAAAAATCTCTAAACAATTGTTAATATTTATTATAGATAATTGAGAGAAAAAAAAATAAATAATAAAAAAAAACGAGTATGAATAAATGAACCAAAACATTTGTTATTGATTATCAACTTTGCAAAATAAAAACATTTATAACTCGAAACACATAGACTTAACCTGTGACCAATCATGAAACGAACCACAATGCCCTTTTCCTNAAAAAAAAAAAAAAAAAAAGTAACGAGACAAGTTTGGAGGACAAATTGAGAGCAAATAATTATTTGTCACACGACCTCTAGGCATCCATGTTTCTCTTATGGAATCTCGTCTCTTTCTGCTGCTAAATGCCGTGTTTATACCAATCACCATAAATACCTTTTTTCTTTTTATGTCAGCATTGTTAGTTGAATTCTCAGAATCTCCATTGTCGTTGTTCGATGATGGCAACTCCGAACGTAGCTTAGTAACAGAGGAATCCAAATATCTGAGAGAGGAGAACAATAACACCAAATCATATATACCTTGCCTTAACTCTCATCAATAAAATACTTGCCAAGTCTAAATTAATTTCAGATTAATTGCTAGAACATGACAGAGGAATATTGATGAGCCTTTTGGTGCTACGTCAAATATGTACTCACTCGATGGCTTCGTGTGCCTTATTGAACTCTTTAATAACTTGATCATCATGAATTAGTTCCTACAATAACCACAACAATTACAAAGAAAAAGGAACAAAGAAAGAAAGATACACATACATGCATCTATATATTGGACAAACATTATGTACATATAAAACCAACCTTATTTCTCTCACAATCATCAGAAATGACTTCAAATTCACCCAAATGTCGTCTGGCGTAAAGCTTGTAGTCCTCTGACAGAGGATTGACCCATATTCTGTTCACCAAAATGGTTTGTATACAAAATATAATTACTAAATCTCAATTCAATGAAAACGTATTAACATTTATTTCTTAGCAAGAACATATAAGTGTAAAATTTAATAATCAACATCCAAACCTGTGGGTGAATAGCATGCCAAGGCCAAAACTAATAGCACATAGAATCACCGTCCATTTGAGGGATTGTTTTTCTCGGTTTCTATTCTTCGATGCCATTCTTGATTGTATTGAGAAAAAACGCCCCATTGATCACAAATCTTTTATTTTTACCTATCAAATTAAATTATTGAAAGTCATGATATCATCACATGAATATATGAAGTTAGGCTTGGACTAATGGGGTTGATAGAATTTTAAGGTCTCTCCGACCCACTATTTATTATTTGACTTGTATTTTCTGTGTCATGATTAATTTTTGTTACTTTTTCGTTATATACTATTATATTCATGTGTCACTGAATTCTTAATTTATACCAAAATGTCGTACTAAAACTGTGTAGTAAAAAATTATGGGGAATAAATAAAGTGTACAAACCCAGTCCTATAGCTAGCTGCAAAAATATCAAAGATGAGCAGCAAAAGGTTCCAGTTAAAATTAGTAAAAGTATTTTTCTCCTTTCAAATGACGATTTGTTAAAATATGCTGCAACTTTCAATATCGTCGAGTGTCACGCGTACTTATTAGCTAGGACTAGACTCCAGTTGAAGTTACTTAAAGCTATCCTATTTTATGCATGTAATAATTGCGATTGTGCAGTCCTTCGAGTTTTTTTTTTTTCATTTCTTTTTCCATTTTCATTGACCTTTTAGGTTTCACGTAGTAGGCAATCAATATTCCTCAAAAATCATCTTGATAATTTCGATGGGAAAAATGCTTTTTGACACCTTAATTATCTTCTCTTTTGACTTTTGATACTTTATCTATTAACTTAATGATTTTTCATACCATCTATTTGGCTTGTCCATCAGATTTGTTACTTTTCGTTTGTCAGTTGTCTTTTACTAACGTTTAAACATGTTACAACAGGTGAAAAGATCAGTATGAAAGGGAGAAAAATTCACTTGTAGTACTTAAGAGCACCTGCATTGCAGCTCATTTTTGGGCGTTTAAACGCAGCCCTCGCGTTTAACAGGGATGCAAGCATCCATTTAATTGAGGCCCCATTTGCCAATTCAATATATTGAACGGCAGTTCAATAGCTTTTTTTTTTTTTTTTTTTTTTTTTTTTTTTTTTTTTTATTTCAATTAATTATGTAATTAATTCAATTTTCATTTATATCACATTTTTCGAGCATGTTTGTTTATGGAAATTTTTTAAAAAAATGTCATCATTTTAACCCAACCATCTTTTTTCACTCAACTTTAACTCAACCTCACTATTATCAATATTATTAATATAATTAAATTATATCAATTTATCATTCATACACACCACATCAACCTTAATTCACTATTAATTCACTTACATTATTTTAACTAACCATCACTTCAATCATCTTTCTCCTACTTTTACATCAAATCAATTTTAATTATTTTATTTTAAATATTATTTTAATATACCCACTAACAACTAACGATACCACTTTTTTCAAAATTAACCAAACCAAACCAAGAAATCCAAACAAAACCAAAAGTTTTCATAAACAAACATGCTCGTTTAATTCAATTTGACATTTAATTTATAGTTGATAAATTCAGATTTTATCTATATCACATTTCCCAATATGTATCAATAATTTATATTTTTTATCCTTCATTCTTTGCCTATAAATACACCTTGTTTTTACACTTTCTGCACCAAAAAATTTAGCAACTGTTCACTTGTGTTAAAAAAATGGATTCGAAAAATAAGCAAAATTTTCAAAATTTCTCATGTTATTTTGGTCTTGTAGTGTTCTTTCATTTTTATTCATTTAACATTTATTATTATAATTAAAAAATATAAAATTTTTATTTTTATTGAAAATAGAATATTAAAATATATATTGAATGAGTGGATAATGAGTCTCATATATGTATTTAAATGAATGTGTAGGAATGTGGGTGTGTGATTAAATGGAGAGATTTAGTGGAAATATGATGTGGATGAGAGAGAGTGTTACTTTTTGATTGAATGAATGATATTTGTGTTAAAGGGTTGTGGATGCCCTTAAAGTATACCATCTTTTCCCTTTTGGTACTAAAGGTGCAAAATTAATCAGTTTTTGTCACTAATATTTTCAAAATTAATCGTAATTTGTCCAAACATAATAAAACCAATTAAAATTTACGGTTGTCGCTGCCTCCGGTGGAGAATCACGTCGAGTGGGATTGCTGGGTACATCGAGTTCATGTGTATTGTCCTTCTAGTCGATCAGACGATCAGTCATACCTTCAGGTCGAGTTTCTATCAGCCCATCAGAGGGCCTTAACTCGACGTGTCGGTGTGTCTTTAAACCTCTAACATCTTATTTGACCTCAAGAGTCCTTGTTGTACTGTTGTTCGTCCTTCTTGTGTTCTTGTTAGACCATCCGATCAGCCAAGCCTGGATAACCATTTTGTCGGGTTTGTACTACGTATTGTGGTATCCCATATCATCTAGTCTCCCCCACTCTGTTCGAGTTAGAATAACTCAATATAAAAGTAAATTTTCGTCTTTGAGTTTGGTTGACGGATTCCAACTCTTCTTTTTCGACCTTCATGCCCACACTTTCTTTGATTCTGCAATATAGTCTTTGACCTCCCCTTGTGGTCTTCAATTCAAATTTCAAATTTTAAATCTCTACCTTCTTGTCAGATTCAATCAATCACAAAGTCTTGTCAATGTCATCGCTCTGTGATTCAAGCTATCCTCGTACAACGTACCCATTAAATGCGTTCTTAATGATGACCGTGTTAGTGTATATACTGAAAGCTTGACTTTAGATGTTATTTACATTATTTATGTGGAAGGATTTGATTAAACCAATTATGTGTATTCTATTGTTTTCATTTAGATAAATGGTTTATCACGGATGGACAAAAGATATAACAGTGACTTGCGAAACATAAAGTAAATGGTTCACAACCTAGATGGAAATTGAACAAGCAATCAAAATAGTTGTAGTGTGAACGGTACAGTTGGTCTTGACTGATTAGTTGCACTAGTACAAGTGTGTATTGAACGGATCCCACAGTGGAGCAGTTCATTTTATACTGATCGGTGTAAATGAACTAGGCCTCGGTTAATTACTACGTACTCTTAACCTGTAAGAGATAAACATGCACATTTATATAGTAGTTGCTATTTTGATTCATAACTCCTACCATCGAAGCAAACTAGCCTGGCCCAACATGTAATTTCTCCATTCAATGGGGGCTGGCTACTCTCGTCGTATATGGAATACGGCCTTGTGAGGTTCATTCTATCTGAATCAATAACTAATTGAGTTGGGTAGTAATTGTTATATGATATGATACGCTGTTAAAATATTTACAGTCAACATGAACTTCTGATGGTTGAGGTTTGATGATGTCCCCGAAGTGAGCTCAGAAGGATTATTATGTTAAAGTCTGCAAGTGGATTAAGTTCCGACATAAAATAATGTATTGAGTGGTGTTAGCTTCGACTCAGTTGGTTGTCAGTAATCGAATCGATTGATGAACATTATATTTTAAACATGGAGAGGCAAATCGAGTAATTTAGAATCAGAGTCAAAATCGTAATTTGCAAATCAAATTTGGAGTTGCAATAATACTACGTTAGTGAAATGACTGTATTATTCGTATATGAGTAGAATGTGCTTGGCCCATAGTTAGTCCCATATACGGGGAACTCAATTTAAGGCCTTCTTAGAGTCCCTACTGAATCCTATAAATACACCACTTCTCTTATGTTTGGAAGACATCCATACACTTTAGACTTAGAAGAGATGTAGAGTCTTCTTCCCACCATGGGAGTTCTAGAGGTGTTAGGATATTCAATAGAAGATCCCAAGGTAGTCGACAACCCAACAACCACTGGCCGAGCACCCGACCACCATCGGCCACCGCGCATCGCCCGACACAACCCAGCAAGCTCGACGTGACCCGATCCCATCCAACCTGCTCCCAGTGACCCACTCCAATTGATGCACGCCTGCAGCCCGCGTAGATCTCTTGATCCACTACCGTCCAGCGTCCTCCATCGAATCGAGCGCGACCAACTATAGTTCCCGGCAGCTGCTCAATGCCACCAGCACATCCCGCGCGACCTGCTGCGACCTCAGTCGACCCGCGCATTCCATGTGACTCTAAGACGTACGCGAGGTGATTTGTGGCGAGTGAAAAATTAGACGATCTCCATCAACGAAAATCTACTACATCTTAGAGTCTGCAATTTAAATCCGTAACTTTCCTACATTAAACCTAAGATTTGCTGCGCATAGGTTTATTCGTAGATTAATTCGTGACTCCCACAATTACAACAATCCTTATCGATGACAACACATCATTCGATTTACTTTCAATCCAACGGTTGAATTTGTGATGTATTTTCAACTAGACTACCCAATCTCCACTATTGATTACGACCTCGATCTATAAGCTCCTTGTGACCTGCCTTTTCAACTTCACTCATTTTAATCTTGATCGTTAATTTCGGCTACCATCCGACGGTCTTACTCAAACCGACCTTCCAACTCCTCTGCAAGATCATCACCGTTGATACCTACCCTGATCCAACTTTCAGGATCAATCAACCTACACAACTGTTCATCTATAAATACCCCTTATGCTGAAGAATTTTTGTTTTTGCCCTTGTGAAATCTACTTTTGATTATCTGTGCCTTTCTCTCTCTCTTTTGAAACCGAATTTCCAAGCTTCGCCACGCCTCGCCGTGCTTTGCAAGCTAAAATCTTCTGCAAGTTCTCCAAGCAACCAATCTCAATTTCAAAGATGAGTAAGTTTTCTACAATTTTCTTTTTATTAATTTTGCACGTAAAATTTTCATTTTTTCTTTTTTGTTTCTTCCCTCTCAAATTTTTCAACTATACCATCCATCTTCCTTCTCCTCCCTTTCTCTAGAAACCTAAAAAATTATTCCTTTTTTCAGATTCTGCGACCTCTTGTGAGGTCGACTGATTTTTTCGACCAAGACATGACCTCCCCGTCGTCCTCTTTATCCTCACGACCCCAATTCACTCATTCTCATTCTTTTTCTCTTGAGGTCAGCTCTAACCAGCTATGTTTTCTGCTGTTCCAGCTCCTTCTTCTCCAACCTCACCCAATCAGTCCTCTTCTCCTGCTCGGCGCCCTCGTTGACCACTCAAACTGGTCGAAGAGCCTGAGATAGAAGAAGATGACGTGGTCCTCTTGCCGGTCCTCTTGCTTGGCTTCTGTTTCAATCTCTCAAGCTGGTCCATCTTCCAAACGTCGACCTTCTCCTATGTCTGAAGGTGCCACCTTCGACGAAGAGATCGAGGTAGATATGCCCCCTCGAACTATTTCTATTTTCACATTA